GCATTAGGGGGCGGGGGAGCCATAGGTTCCCGACCCCTGTGCTAAACCATTAGTCAAACGCTGTCATGTCTTCTGTTGTTATTACACAATCAAAAATCTCTTTACTGTTACTAGTGTTCGTGCCTCAATATGGCTACGCTCGTGGACGCAATACAACGACCTCAAATGCGTCTTCGTTCAATGTTGTCAACTAATATCCGGATTAATTTTATGCAAATTTTCCTCAATTCTCCTGAGAAATTTTCATAAAATTTTGAAAAACCCGGAAGTCCGGGAAAATCCGGAGGACTTTCATCTCTGGGCGCAATCTACAATGCCTCCACTAGATGTTGCTACGCTCCTTATGTTCAACTCGAGAGGCGTGCATTCAACTCGAGAAGAGGCGAGGAAATCACAAAATAAATTCTATATCCCCCCCTACAGAATTTATTTTGTGATTTCCAAGCTTGATTTTTTTTTCGTAGTTTCATTGAAGTAATAATTAAGTTACGTTTTTCAGAGGCGGCCATGAACGCCTCTCGAGTGGAACGGAAGTAGAGAAGGCACGAGACGGACGGACAAAGACGTACAGTACCTGTATTTGTTGAGACTGTGAAAACCATTATTAAAGTCTGCGTTTAAAAAAAAATAAAAAAACCACAGCTCTCCTTTTTCCAACAAATATAGGTGAGTCTTTGTCCGTCTCCGTGCCTTCTCTTCCGTTCAACTCGAGAGGCGTTCATGGCCGCCTCCGAAAAACGTAAATTCATTCTTACTTCAATGAAACCACGAAATCACAAAATAAATTCTGTAGGGGGGATATAGAATTTATTTTGTGATTTCCTCACTTGATGTTCTGTTTTGATGCATTATTTTCAATCTTCGTAGTTTCATTTAAGTACAGTAATAGTTAATTTACGTTTTTCAGAGGCTGTCAAGAACGCCTCTCAAGTTAAATGGAAGGAGCGTAGCACCATCTCGTGGAGGCATTGTAGATTGCGTATATTTTTCGCAGGCGGTCTTGAACGCCTCTCGAGTCAAACTGAAGAACAGAAGGCACGGAGACGGACAGACTTACCTGCACTTGTTGAGACTGTTTTAAAAAAAACAACACCACAGCTGTCCTTTTTTCGGAGCCGCAACAAAAACGCATTTAACAAAGCACAGTTCACTGAACCAACAGCAAGTTATAACATTGGAAGCATCTCTCCAGGAAGGAGCCATCTTGAAGTCGATGTATTACCGTAATGACCATACACAAGATGCACCGGATTTTAAGGCGCTCGGGGAGCTTTTAAGAAAATGGAAGACTTTTTGGTGCGCCCTATAGTGCGGAAAATATGGTAATGATGTTTGAACTCAGATTAGGTAACAGTTTTGACATTTGGTCATGATTTTTTTGTCCAAAATAGAAATCTTACCAGGTCTGCATATTTTTTGCACAAAGCAGCCAGTTTTTCTTCAGGTGTGGCTAAGGAATTCAATGCCTGCATAAGTAACACAACCTCCTTCCCTGAAATGGAATAACAAAAAAAACTATGAACAAGAGTATTTCACAACAATGGGCACACTACCTCATATCATAGCATCCATTTTATTATATTTCATTTCAAATAATAAAAAACAAATGGAACTTAGACATAGAGCAGCAGTGCCCAACCAGTCGATAGGGGTTGACTGGTAGGATGCAGACTGGTCTCAAGTCGTTTTTAATATTATATATTTTTATGTTGGTGTGCACTGCACCCTATCAGTTTGACTTTCACAGAAAAAACATCCCTCCATCCATTTTATGATCCGTTAATCCTTACAGGGTTCATGAGGCACGCTGCAGCCTATCCCAGCTGTCTTCGGGCAGTAGGCAGGGTACACCCTGAACTGGTTGCCAGCCAATCGCAGACACAAAAAAAAAAACAAGTAAAAACTAAAGAGTAGGTCACCTTTAACCTACAGTGGCGCATGACCTGAATCACACGAAGTTGTTAGCAGTCTGCTATTGCAGCTAGCGATCAGAGCTGTTGAGATATATCAATTTTTTTTGTTTATTCTCAACTCAACTGGATTTATAGAGCACTTTAAAACAACCACCGCTGTATACAAAGTGCAAGACATGGAGCAAAAATTACATATACAACAAACTATAAAACAATAAATTAATCACAAAGACAGGAGAAAGCAAAAAAACTGAAAAACTAAATATCAAGTCTCATGCTGAGTCAAAAACCAAAGAATAAATATGACTTTGAGACAAGTAGTGAACAGGCCTGAGGATTTCAGAAATTAACAGAAACCATTTTTCAATCCCATTGGATGACCCAATTTGAAACCACGGTAACCAATTTTGGGTTCCGTAAACGTTCATCATGGGAACCCATTGTTCTATGGTGACTGATATTCATAATCAAGAATTCTGACACTCAAAAGTATAATATTTAAAGGGTAAATGTTTGAAAACTATGCATGAACAATGAACATAATTACATCAGCTGCGGTGTACTCCAGGTTTATTCAATAAAATAAATGGATCAAAATATGTTGTTTATCACTTTTATTGTACTCATATGGCATCATGAATACAGCGTACCACAAAATCTGGCTATATACCATGGGCCACAAGTAAACCTGAAACCGTTAACATGATTATGTGTGTGTACTATTTGTATAAATAAACATAATATCAATGGCTACTCACCCACTTTATTTGTACAAAAGCAGGTAATCAGAATAGAATGATTAAAATCATGTGATGAATCTTTTTAAAAATGACCGTATTACTATATATAGACTTATAATATTGATATGGCTTGACGTCCTCTTTGCAACCCCAAGATGATGCACCGTGTAATCTTCTACCAATTTGACCAAAGAATCTACCACACGTCATTGTTAGTTCTACCGACAGTTAACATTAGTATTACTACACCTTGTGGCGAAGGTTTTATTCATAAAGTTACCATGTCTGCAACGAGTAAATGATAGAATAACTAAGACTGTTTCATAATATTTTTCAAAGCGATTAGCCTTTAGATCCAATGACCAACTTCAATACTTGCCTCGGAACCATGCCTCCCGTCGTCTCTCTCTTTTGTGTTTTGTGCATACATTACAGGTGAGTTTCGTGATACGCCCTTCTTTGGATGATTCGAATGAAAAAAAACTGACTGGCATTCCCATTTCTTAAATGTTGTAAGTAATAAAACTTTTGTTGTTTTTTTTTTGCCGCCATCTCACTCCGTCATCCGCGCACTTTCTCAGCGTGCAGACTAAAATAGTAACCGGCATGTGCACATAACGTTATCTGTTCCGCCCCCCACCACTGAAAAAAAAAAAAAAAAAAAAAAAAAAGAACACGACAAACAAACACACCACAAACACACATTCGGGCACAGTGAAATCACGTTGATCACATAGGAGAGATTCTATTGCGTACAGTCAACTAGTGCGCGGTGATTTTTATGGGAAACGATTTTTCGGTACCGTATTTTCTGCACTAAAAGGCGCACTGGATTATGAGGCGCACCTTCAACGAATGGCCTATTTTGTAATTTTTTTCATATATTGGATGCAATCTACAATGCATCCACTAGATGGAGCTACGTTCCTTCCGCTCGACTCGAGAGGCGTTCATAACGATTACTTCAATGAAACTACGAAAATTGAAAATAATGCATCAAAACAGAAAATCAAGCAAGGAAATAAAGAAATAAAAAAAATTATAGCCTCCCCTACAGAATTTATTTTGGCATTTCCTTGAGCGTAGCTCCAACAGAACGATCAGATGTCCAGTCTCCTACATTTTACTAAATGTAGGAGACTGGACTGTCTCAGAAGTGTTTGTTATTTATTCCTTTGTTGTGTATTGTATTCACAAACGAGGAAATGACAAAATAAATTCTGTAGGGGGGGGCTATAGAATTAATTTTGTGATTTCCTCGCTTGATTTTCTGTTTTGATGCATTATTTTCAATTTTCATAGTTTCATTGAAGGAATCGTTAATTTACATTTTTCGGAGGCGGTCATGAACGCCTCTCGAGTCGAACAGAGGAAGAGAAGAGAACAGACCTACCTCAGCAATGACAATGTAGGACACCAACCCACTATGACGTGTGCTCTCAGTGCTAGTGGGAATACATGGACCAAATAGGTAATATTATTGTGCATAATTTACAGCACGGCACATCATTAAATTGCAAACAGTAACGCTCGGCTAATTACCACAGCCTGTATAGCTTATCATTCTTGTAATCCTGATGAGTCTCGTCTCAATTCCATGTCTGGCCGTTCGGGCATAACATAGCCGCATCCTGAGCATCTGGATCCCCTCAGATAAGTTTGAAACATCACTTTCCGAATCAATTTCTGACTGGCTTTGAACACTTTCCGAATCGATTTTTGACTGGCTTTGTAAACTTTCCATAGTGAGCCCTGCTATTGTTGTCCTTGAAGTGGAGTCACACTTCTGGGCATGTCGCTCATCCGGATCTCATTTTGAAAATAATATTACTTTGTCCATCCATCCATCTTCTTTATCCTCACAAGGGTCGCGGGGTGTACTGGAGCCTATCCCAGCTGTCTTCGGGCAGTAGGCGGGGGACACCTTGAACCGGTTGCCAGAGAATCGCAAGGCACACAGAGACAAACAACCATCCGCACTCACATGGGACAATTTTGAGTGTCCAATCAGCCTGTCATCGATGTTTTTTGGAATGTGGAAGGAAACCGGAGTACCCAGACAAAACCCACGCATGCACGGGGAAACTCTGCACAGGAAGGTCGGAGCTGGAATCCATCCCGGTACCTCTGCACTGTGAGGTCGACGCGCTAACCACTCAACTACCGGGCCACCCTTTTAACTTTGTCAAATATATGAAAGAAATTATTTTTTCATGCTTTATTTAATGTATTTTGTTTAATTGTGACATGAAAATATTTCATTTGAGATTTTGTAAAATTACTTCTCACTTGACCTTTAACTATTTTATTCCCCATGACATGTAAATATGTCAAGAAAAGCCACTACAACCACCTACCCATGATTTATTTTTTTTGTCTTTTTTTTTTGCGTCATAGAGTGCAGAAGAGTCTGACACAGCCTTTGACTCAAGATCAGGCCTGACTGTCTTTTAAATCATTTCAAAGCTGTCCAGCAGGTGACAGCGGGTGTAGGGGAGAAGCCAACATCATGTTGCAAAACAAGCAGAAGAGGAGGGATGCATGGGCGCAGTTCAGGAGTCAGGTGCAGTCGCGAGGATTGCTTTTGGGGAAGAAAATCTTCCACCATGACGAGGGAAATGGAGTTGCTCAAAGCAGCAGCACACTTTTGTCCGCGCGCGCGCGCGCACACACACACACACACACACACACACACACACACACACACACACATTAATTGCAGGGTGAAGGGCACACACACATGCACGCGCAATATATTGCAGGGTGGAGGGGACACACGTGCACACACAGTGCTCTTACACATGCAAATATACACATGCACCAGTGTTGTGGTCCTCGAGCCGGTCCTTGGCCTCGAGGACCGGCTCCCCGACCCACAGGCGGGCC